AAAAAATATTATTTACTACTCTACTACTTACGGTATAGGAAATCTGGTTTGAAGGACCGTTTGGGATGTTGGATTTCAGAATGGTTTAATTGTTAAAATGATCCTGCCCTCTGGTGTTTTATGTCTGGTTATCGTATGTACAATGGTAGTACGCGTACTAAGTAATGTTTACCATACAAAATACACATGAAATATCATTGTCTTGTGTAAACACGTTGCTAGTTTGAGAAATAATTGTTTAAACGCTTATATGTTAAGTAAAGAAAATCGTTTTAAAACATCAATATTTACATATGTTAGGTTGTTAAAATTATATAACTAATAAAAATAACATATACAATCTGACTATAAATATGTTATGACTGTATATACAGTTATCAACTTGGTAGTTTCAATATACCTCATACGTGCACAAAAATATATAGGTTTATATATTTATATAAGTTTTAGAACTTATATCTTAGGATCATACATGTGCTTGTGTACACTATACTAAGTTTTATCAATTGTTTAAACAAGTATAGTACACTTTTACGTGTACGCTTATCAAATATACTTGTCATTTATCCGTTTACCCGTATCTACAGTTGTTAAGTAAAACCTTGGCAGATAACTTTGTCTGTATATCCATGTGTCTGTTTATCCATTATCCGTATAACTTTGTCACTATAAATTTTAACTAGATTTCATTATCTAGGAACTACAGTTTAGATTTTTATCTTTATCAAACATTTCCAAACACGGTTTTACTTACAACAAAGACAATACTTTTTTGATCGTTTTAAAAGTATTATTATTTTCAGAAAGCCTGTGACACTTACCAACCTTTGTGTCGACCCTCAAACTTATATGTATTCTCATGAAATCATTAGACAAACGTTCAGACAGAAGATTGGTCATGGAATACAGATGACCTAGCTATCTAGTTTTTGTTATCTGCTTACCTGTTTAAGATAACTACTGTACTATTATTATCTGTAAGAATCATGTATTCAAACTTAATGATGGAATACAAATGTTGTTTTGTTTATCTTTGTACTTGTGCTATATATTCAGTTTCTTTGTGATCCATGAACTTAGTCGCACTCCCGGCATGTTCCGCCTTGGCCAGGGGTGTGACAATAACTAATATGTATAATTTTTTCCATCTAGACGAGTATTGATTGACTGAAAAGAATCATCATTTCCAGTGATGTTGGCAATGAATAAATACCTACAACAATAGATAAGCAATCTGAGAATGAGAAGAACAACAAACCAGCGGAAGCAATCAATCGAATAGCAAGAGACCGAACAGCAAGAGATCGAACAACAACAACAAACTAACAGCAACAACAAACGAGTACCAACAAACAAATGAACATCAGCAGCGAAGAAGCATCAAACAGATTGAAAACGAAACGACTACAGTAACCCTAGAAATTTTCGATCTGCGCCAAAATGACTGCTACAAAGTCTTCTCACAACGTATCAAACCTCTCTTCTGATCCATGATAAAGGCTATAAAAAATAAACCGGAGAATAAATACTAGCATAACAAAACTCTAATGTGTTAAAAACTAAAAAGCCCATAAACATGTGGGCTAATAATATATAGGCTAACAATTACATCGCTATGACTCGTAAAAATTGAAGCTTAATTTTTCCGCGACTTCAATTCCCAAGGTTTTTTAAAATCTTGGTAAAACATGAACACTTCGAAAAAAGATTTCTCAGTAAGCAAAGTAAATTTATTAGTACTATTTTTTTTTTTTGGTCTGCATGGAGAAGTGATCTCACAGTGAAATTAGTGGTATTTTGATTAAAATTTAGTATTTTTACTTTTTTTTTTTTTGTACATTTAAAAAATCTAGTTAATATTTTTTTAAAAATTTATTTATAGAACATGTTCTTTCACAATAAAAAATCTCCTAAATTTATGTTTTTTCTCAAGCAAGTTTTCCTTTTATTAATAGTGAAAGGAATATTTGCTCAAAATTATCTATTCGCGAATCACAAAGATTTTATAGAACAAGACACACACAAAATAAACCGCTTTCAAGAACATCAAAATGGTCAATTTGCAGCGGCAGAAATTATAACGAAGAAAAGAACCCGCCAAGATCGACGAACAAGTGAAGACTCTAAGAAATTACTATTTATCTGGTATTATACTTTCTCCCTATTTTTCAATTTACATCCACATGTATTCATGATTTCATGTCGACTGAAAGATTGAAGTGTAGTTGCTCATCCGATCAATGTTTGGTTTGATAATCGTTGTTGGCAGATGTTGGAAACTCGAAAGTGTAGCCAATTGTTTTCCAATTTGGTATCTAATTTTATTAAGTTCAAAATAATGATGTATTTGGTCATCAATAAACTATAATTTCTTAGTCTCTCTTGGTCGTTAGTGTTTGGGCTTTTCGCCATCCAGATTCTCTTATAGCGAGCAGTTAGAGAATTTCATGATAATTAACATAAAATAGTAGTAGGGCTGTTTCACGCTCTAGGTGAGACAATTTCGTCATGTTCCTGTTTGTAATCCGAGTATATTTTATGAAATTCATGAAGATTTGAGCCAGGGTTTAGTGTGTAGTAGCTGATGAAAGCGATGAAACGGGAGAGAAATGGGGGAATATGGGATTTTGAACTTGGTATTGCTCCGGCGAGCGGCGGTGAGGATCTGATTCTCGGATTGGACGGCGGGACTACTTCGACGGTGTGTATATGCATGCCTGTGTTCCCTTTCAACGACGGCAGTCTTCCGCCCGACCCTCCTCCGGTCCTAGCTCGTGCTATTGCTGGCTGCTCCAATCATAACAGCGTCGGAGGTACTACTTTCTCTCTCTCTCTCTCTTTCTCTCAACACCTTCTGCATCTATAACTTGTACTTGACAGAAACCGCTGCAAGGGAGACGCTAGAACATGTTATGGCGGAGGCTCTTTCAAAGTCAGGTTCTACCAGATCTTCAGTTCGAGCAGTTTGTTTAGCTGTATCAGGAGTTAATCATCCAACAGACCAGGAAAGAATCTTAAATTGGCTTAGGTTTGGTGTTTAATTTCCCCTTACATCAATCCATCATCTTCATCTTATCTTTCCAAATGCAAAACCTTCTTAATTAGACTCGATGTTTGATGTTTCTTCATTCTTTCTTCTTCATCTACACAGAGAGATATTCCCCAATGATGTTAGATGTTTTGTCCACAATGATGCTGTAGCTGCCATGGCTAGTGGAACAATGGGAAAGCTTCATGGCTGTGTATTAATTGCTGGAACAGGGACAATTACTTATGGGTATACTGAAGATGGAAGAGAAGCTCGAGCTGCTGGTGCGGGACCCGTATTAGGTGATTGGGGAAGGTAGTTTTGAAAACGTTGCTATTTCTTGCATTTAAGTATAACCATTTTTATGTTATACTTTTGTTAAGATGTATCTTATGTACATGTAGTGGATATGGTATAGCTGCAATGGCATTGACATCAGTAATAAGGGCTTATGATGGCCGGGGCCCACAAACAAAGCTTACATCCAGCATCCTGCAAGAACTCAAACTCTCTTCACCAGATGAACTAATTGGGTATATGTTTCTAGAATCTTTATACGATAAAGATAGAATCTTGTGATTTTAGGAAATTTTTGTTATAATGTTATTACTGATAAACATAAACTTGATTTGAATATAGGTGGACATATGCTGACTCATCGTGGGCCCGAATTGCAGCTTTGGTCCCTGTTGTGGTATCTTGTGCAGAAGGAGGTGATGAAGTTGCAAATGGGATATTACTTGATGCAGTTCAAGAATTGGCTGAAAGTGTCAAAGCAGTTGTTTCAAGACTCGGGTTGTGTGGTGAAGGTGTATTTTGCAAACCCTAAAACTTAAAATAATAATATAAAGAGATAAAGATGTAAGATTTATATGAGTTGTTTGGCAGATGGAAAGGACACGTGTCCTCTTGTGATGGTTGGAGGTGTTCTTGAAGCCAATAGGAAGTGGGATATTGGAAAAGAAGTAATTAATCGTGTTTCCAAGGAGTTCCCAGGGATGCATCCAATTAGGCCAAAGGTAATTACTTTTTTCTATTAAGTCGTTTTTTATGCATTAAGTAAAAAAGTTTCTTTTTTTCTGATTAAGTAAGTGTTGTATACATAAAGACTTGTTTCTTTTTTGGACTGAATGAACTGTCTGAAATTAGGTGGAGCCTGCGGTTGGAGCAGCTTTGCTTGCATGGAATTTTCTAAAGGAAGAATCGTAACAGGAAAAGCTTTGGAAAGTTGACAAGCTAGAAATAAAGAAAAATAAGTTGACCATTATTGATGCAAGAGTGATTTTTTAATTGTATAGTAGTGATAAAAGAACACAAGATTTTTTTTTTCTGTATTGATCAATTATTTGTATCATGCTTTGATGTTAGATAGTTAATAATCTTTTATCAGAATATCTTGTATGTTTGTTTTCAATAACTTTTTGATATTATATTGGCTGAATATAAGCAATAGTTTTTTCATTAATGAGCAACAATTCGCTTCTGAAGTGCTTTTACTTGACATCAAGTGAAGATTAGATCGCTGAAGTGTACAAATGCAACAAAATTAACAAGAACCAAATAATTTTAGACGTTAGCATGTACAAATGCAACACAATGAAGCCATGATTCCAATGAAACTTTTCCTCAAGTAAGAAATATACAATTTTGACTAAAGCAAATGGACAAGATTTATTGTCTGCCCTTATTGTTACAACTCGTAACAGCATAACGTTTATAATCATTTTTAACACTAGTTGTGAATAGCAATTTCAAATTTTTTGGACATATGATGTATCAAGCCAACCTCAACCAAACCAATATAAAAAAATTGCGGTTTTCATCATTTAGTAAAAAGAAAAATATAAGCAAAGGAAAAGGCACAACCATGTCTTATGATCCCCCCTTCAAACACCAAGCAAAGTTTTGTGTATCAAAAGTCAAAACAAGTCAAATCACAAATTCTACCCAAAAAAAAAAAAAAAAAAAAACTAAACCAGATAATAGATGATAACAAGAATCAAGTAGTAGTAATGTAGTAGAAACAGCAACAGGCAAAACTGGAGAACAATTCCAAAATGTGTGTTTTTAGATTGGGGAAGGTGGGATTTCAAGAGTAAGACCCGCTTGAATCTGTCCCCAACCAATCAACCGCCAATGCTTCTCCACTCGCCTACTCAGCGCAATCTTCTCACCTTTACTCGTACACACCGGTGACGTCAGCTGCAGTTTCGCCAGGTCATTCTTAACCGCCAACACCCGGGCCCCAGTCGACATGGACCCGATATTAAGCATCAGTATTTCCGCCTTTGCCAGCTTGGACACCTTCCCTTGCCTCTCTGTTCCTTTCGTCTTCACTCCCAACAACCTCCTCAACAGAAAAAAATTCACCTGTTCACAATTTCAACATTCTAATTATAGCATTCTACTTTAAAATACTTTTTAACTAATTACATTTTACCTCAAGTTCAACATAAACATCGGGCAGAGACCCGACTTCTCCAAGAACCTGCCCGACAAGCCGGTCAGCACGGGTCAGCATAGGGTCCATTGTGGTCCCCACTCCGATAAGCCCCCCAGGAACAGCAAACTGAAGCTCATTCTGTTCTGCATATAGTGAAACAATTCTAGAATATATAGGAGTGCACTTGATGTTCCCACTTTCATCTTTGACAACAATCCCTGGGCGAACTTCAATGAACTGGTTTACCTTCAACACACCCTGTACAATAACACAATTACATTTTTGGTCCCTGGAGTTTAAAAGGTAAAAAAAAAAAGTCACAAACCTTTAGGATACTTCCACCAGCAACACCACCTCTAATCTCATCAACTTCAGATCCAGGCTTATTAACATCAAAAGACCGAATCACAATCATATTTGGAGGTGAAATGAAGTTTCTCTCTGGAATTGGAATTCTCTTTATGATGTATTCACACACAACATCGATGTTATACTTGAGTTGAGCAGAAACTGGAATCACTGGTGCTCCATCAGCAACAGTTCCCTGGAGTTACAAATTTTAATCCAAGGGTAGAAAGTGACAACTTATAATAATAATAGAATATCCACATTAAACACTAAAATGACCTGGATGAATTTCTGGATTGCTTCGTGTTGATTAATGGCTACGTTTTCTTGAATTAAATCAACCTTGTTTTGAAGAATTATGATATGCTGAAGCCTCATGATTTCAACAGCAGCTAAATGTTCAGAGGTTTGAGGTTGAGGACAGCTTTCGTTTGCAGCTATGAGAAGTAATGCTCCATCCATGATTGCAGCTCCATTAAGCATTGTAGCCATGAGAATATCATGTCCCTATGAAAATAATTGTCATTATATACATTTCAAAAGATTTAGTATTATCTGAATTATGATGGAATACTTACAGGGCAATCAACAAATGACACATGCCTCATCAATGTCATTTTGGTGTTTTCAAATCCAGGAACATCACATTGAGGGCTGTCTTCTTTCCCACTTCCATATGCCCTGTGAAAAATTTTGATGCATCTTTAATGACATACAGTGTTATAGTAAATGCCAAGAAATAACATTAATGATTTGCTTGTAATCTTACTTGTAACACATAGGTCGAGGACACCTGTCATCTTCACATTTGTAGATCTTTGCATTGGCATACCCAAGTTTGATAGTGATGTTACGTTCCAACTCATTTTTAAAACGAACAGTCTGGATATGAATGAAAACGACATTAGAGAAGCTTCTTTAGAAAATATGCAAAGAGAATAAACATGAAAAAGATATTCATCAAATAACTGAATTCACTGGTTTTCTAGTCATCTTGGTAAATCATTCATCATGTTTTGCAAGACTCACATATATTCCTCCATTGAAAGAACACCTTGAAACATACAGACTTTTACATACTAATCACTTACTGCAGTTAAAAAACATATGGAACTATACCTAGTTACAACTAGAAGTGAGTGAAAACTCGATCTCATACCAAGGGTATGAATTTGAGAGCATGTTGACTACTTTTAGAAAGAAATAATGATAAAGAGATGGCATAAAACTAACAACTTAGTGTACTAATCCTTGCTCCATTCATATGCTTCTATATACATCAAGGAAGTGTTATAGAGAAGAGATAATTTCATAGAAGGTATCAAGGTATTGTTTCACTTCCTACACTAGTGGTATGATAATTAGTTCAAAGCAGACTGGAAAATTAAGTACGGACCTGCACACCAGATATTGCTTTCACAACTGTTGATTTGCCATGAGCCACATGACCAATAGTACCTGTTGAAAGAGACAGAAAAAACTAGTTAAGGCAATGTAAGGTATTTAGGCGATCAATGAAATCTCCAGAGTTGGAAAAGGAATAGGATTATAAAATGAGCAGATCGGAGAAACAAACATTCAAGAAAATCTAAGTGGTTTACCAATATTAATCGTAGCCTGGCGAGAAATAACCTCCGGTGAGAGCGGATGTAGTTTCGTTACATCCAGCTTGCTCAAATCCTGCTCCATTAAACCTTTTCGAGACATTTTCACTGTTCTTCAAGGACTTTTCAGTATTCAGCCTCACAAATTGTAGAAACCCTAAGCTAACACCTCGCCTGCATCAAATATCAACTATCAGAGGCTCTCCTTAGCGGTCACATACAGAGAAACACATACAACGCAATTTTGATGGAAACTTAACGAATTTCGAACCTGCTTTTAGAGAAATCGAAAATTGTTGAAGCGAGAACTAACCTTTGAGTGAGGAAACACCGAATCGAGGAGACGTTGGAGAGATTATCCGATCCTTAGACGATTGGTGTTGGTGGTGGCTAAGGCGATAATATTGAGCAGTAACGTTGCTAGGGTTTCAGGGTTCTACAGCAAAGTAGAAATTAGAAAAGCAGCATTGACGTTGCACATGACATACTTGGGAACCCCGTTTTATATGTCCATTGGATTATACCAAATTGAAAAAAAAATAAAAATAAAAATAAAAATAAAAAAATAACAACCTACTTTTTGTGATATATATTTTATTTTTGGATTAAATATAAAATTATATAAAAAAAGTATTATTTAAAGTATAAAGTATTTATAAGTTTATTTCGATATAAACATTTTTAGGTGTTTGGATTTATTTATTTTTTGCTTCTTCATATGATGCATACCGGTAATAATGTTTGGGATTGATTATTTAACGCAACAATCGTTTTTTTATAAAAGTTATTATTAGATTATGCGGTGATAAAATTGAGTTTAAAAAAATATTTAGATTAACTTATCTGGTGTCAAAAAGTTATAAGTTGATAAATCATTTAAAAAAGATGTTCGAATTAACTTATAGTTATTTTAGATGAATAAGTAATATGCATTTTTTTAAAAATCTCAATTTATAACTTATTTAAAATGAATTTTTGAAAGGTAACAAAAAACACTTTTGAAAAGTTTTTATCAACTTGCCAAATACTTAAGGCTTATCAATTTTTTGAACAAATAGGAGGTGACTTCTATTGTTTAATTTACCATGTATATATTCTTATCATGATCCCACCCCATTATAATGGTGGATGATTGCTTTGATTTTGGTCTCATCCTATTTAAATTCTTCACCTCATGATTTCTACTTGATGACTTAGAAGATATGGTAAAAAAACATGAATTTCCTCGACAGACACAGGTACTCCAATCGGATTTTAGCGCTAAAGCATACCGATGTGAAAAATGGAATTAGAAAATGGAGAGCGGGCAAGAAACGTATAAATATAAAAGACATAAATAAAGTGTTGAAGCAAATTAATGATGTTGCATTAATTGCAAAATATCGCCCTTTAACTTCGCCATAACAAACCAGTTGCCACATGTGGAAAACAGGATTTTAGAGATGGATTCGGTCACCGACTTAACCTAAAACAAAAGTTGAGGTTAAGATGCGAGATCGAAGATGATGAGAACTCTAAGTTCTTTCACAGTATGGTTACCAAAAACATGAGGAGAAATCACATACATGTGTTAAACATCAACAGGGAGTGGATTAATGATCCTTCCAAAATAAAAATAAAAAATGAAGTATGGGAGTTATTTCAAAGAAGATTCATGAAACTATGTACAATCATCCCAAACTGAGAAACGATCGGTTCGAGAAGCTCTCAGTGGAAGGCAATAAGTTTCTCATTACATCGTTTTCTGAATCAGAAATTAAGGATTTCGTTTGACACTGTAGGAATGATAAGTTGTGTGGCCCCAATGGCTTCACTTTCAACTTCATGAAACACTTTTGGGATTTGATAAAATCGAAGGTGATTAAATTAGTAAAATATTTTAAGAATTTTGGTATTTTCACAGGAGGATGCAATTCTTCCTTCATCTCTGTAACATCACGAGATTTGCAGGTATTTCTGAATCCTTTCTTTTATTATTATTTTGTCATTTGTAGTCCCTGGGGATGGAAGAGTGAAGCCATGAGAAGCCTAAGGGCTAAAGTTGCAACTTTGGGATTAAGAAGAGTACGCTAAGCGTACATAAGGTACGTTGAGCGTACTAGGCGCGCCCTAGTACGCTGGGCGTACACTTGTGTACGCTGGGCGTACTCACGACAGATGGAAACCCTAATATTTAGGGTTTGGGTGCTATATAAACGTCCTTATGATCTCACAACCCTCTATCATTTCAGCCTCCATAGCTTTGAGCCGTTTCCCCCAAACCCTAACCCCTCTCTTGAGTGTGTGAGTTAAAAGTGTGTGTTTTGAGTAGTTGAAGAATAAGGTATTGCATCAAGGGGTTGGAGAAGTGAGGCAAACTTGTAGATTTGAGGTTACTTTGTGCTCTAGAAGCTCCAGGAGGTAAAAAGCTCCAACCTTTATTAGATCTTGCCTTATTAGCTTTATGACACCTTATTTGTCCCAAAAGTCCCAAGTTTGTGCATGATGCATTTTGGACGTAATAAGTTGTCTTTTCAAACCCTAGGAAGGGTTCTAAATGATAAAAATGAAATCTCAATGGCTAAAAGTGTCCCATGCAAGTAGTAGGAAGGTCTTAATGGATTAATACCATGTATTAAGGGCTTTTTGGACGTCCAAAGTCTTAAAGTTCGAGACTTTATGGTTCTCGGGTTCATTTAGTCAATGGATCTGGAGTTTGGGCTTAAGTGCTTAACCATTAAGCACTTATTAGAGTTTTTGGTAAAAGTCGTGTACGCCCCGCGTAAGTTTTTGTACGCCCAACGTACTGAGTCAACCACCCTGGTGGTGGACAACGCAAGGCGGAGTACGCCCAGCGTACGCCCTCTGTTGGGCTTTTGCAATTTGGGTCTAACGCCCGGTTCCTGGTACATATCTTAAATAAAGAATATTTTCATTTTATATTGGGACTCGACAAGTTGGAGGCTCAACTCGTCGAGTAGGGACGGATTTTGGACGCGGATGGAAGAGCCTACTCGCCGAGTCGGAAGCCCCGACTCGACAAGTTGACATGTCTGGGTGAAACCCTAAATTTTAGGGTTTGCACCCAATTTAAACGCACTAACTCGCCTCCCATGCAGCCCCCATCGTTTCCCTTAGTCCAGAACGCCCTAACTTGTGTCCCTTGAGCTTTGTTGAGTGTGTGAGCCATTTGTGAGAGTGTTTGTGTGATTTCAAAGCTAGAGGAAGAAGAAGAAGGAGCTAAAAGTTTCAAGGAAGCAATAGATCCAAGGTTCAAGCTACATTTCCAGCCCCTTAAAGGTATAAAGTTGCTTCCTTGACTTTCATGTTGCTAGATCTCTCCATCTTTGAGTTTAGGGCCATCTCTTAGCAATTTTGGTGAACCTTTTTGAGTATGGGGTATGATCTGAAGTTGTAATGTAACATCCCAAATTTCAGAAATATAATATAAGGGCTTAAAGTGTACATTGAAGAAGCTACTCGACGAGTAGGTGCGAGTACTCGTCGAGTCGGATCGGGTTTTGGTCGCGAATTAAGTGACCAACTCGCCAAGTCAGAAGCTGGACTCAACGAGTTGGTGCTGGGAAGAGAAAACCCTAATCTCAGGGCTTACACCCTATTTAAAGGACCTTAAGTCCTCACCTCAGCCTCCTTGTCACCCCTTGAGAGTCAGAAAACCCTAGAATCGTGTGTGAGCCTATGGAGTGAACTTGGAAGCTTTGGAAGGACATTCTAGCAAACAAGGCTCGTAAATCAAAGTGTAGAGCATCAACGGATTTGCATAGATCCAGAATCTACTTCAGCTTGGGCACATTTTAGAGGTAACAAGTTGTTACCTTGACTCTATTGCATTTATATCTATTCTAGAATGATATTTGGGGCCATTTTGGCACGGTAAGGATCTAATTCGGGTTAGGGGTCTAGATCTGAGGTTGCTACTTCAGATCTAGACTTGTCTTGGTCCAGAACCTCACAAAGTATCAGCCCTTGGCTTGTTGGTGAAGCATCATTGTCTTTAACCTTAGCCCTAGAGTGATTTGGGCTTATAACACCTTGTATTCACGTAAAGTTTGCAACTTTATGTGAGAGTCATGACCTAGAAGTGTGGATCTACAGTTTGGAGCCCCTGCATGACTCGAAAAGTCTCTGCATGAATAAAGGACTGAAGAGACTCGGCGAGTCTGTTCTTGGACTCGGCGAGTCTGTTGAAGATAGGCATGAACTCGACGAGTTGGAGGAACAACTCGGCGAGTCTGTTGAAGATTGTCGTGGACTCGGTGAGTCTGTTCTTGGACTCGGCGAGTCAGAACGCAAAACTCCAACCTCTTCTGGTTAAGACTCAAATCAGTGAGTTGAGTGGTGACTCAGTGAGTTGGTCATGATAGGACTCAGAGATCGTTAAACTCGATGAGTCATGGAGTGACTCGGCGAGTCGAGTTGTGATATAAGAGTTTTCTGAATTTGGGAACTCGACGAGTCGACGGGTTGACTCGGCGAGTAGAGTCAATCAGGAAGGTTGACTTTGGCTAGGACTTTAACTTTGACATGTTTGACCTTCACGGGTGTTATGGTATTTTGGATATTTATGTCATGGTTCATTGATGGCATCAGGTGTTGGAGTTTGGAGCAGTGCTTCGGGCTAGTGTTCTCGTGTTTCGGTTCGGCAGTTGTAAGGTGAGTTATCCTCATTATATCAACAGGGTCTACGACACCAAGGCCGACCCTTTATCGGATTTGTATTTGGGTATTCGCATGATATACTTATGGGTTTGTTAGATCTGCGTCCTGGTAGTTAGGACGGTGTTGTGTTAGTGACCGGTTAGGTCGGTATCCTGGTTAGGATGTTGCTATGCTATTATGATTCTGTTAGATCGGTATCCTGGTATATAGAATGATGTTATGCTAGTGACCGGTTAGGTCAGTATCCCGTTTAGGATGTTGCTATGCTATTATGATCTGTTAGATTGGTATCCTGGTATATAGGATTATGCTATGTTAGTGACCTGGTTAGGTCGGTATCCTGGTTATAGGATGTTGCTATGATCGATGATCTGTTAGATCGGTATGACTGTTATATATATGCCAGTATATGTTATTTATGTGCACATGGTTATTGTTGATGGGTGGGTTGAGGCGGGGTCCTGCTTCGTGCGGTTGAGGCCAACATACCCGACGAGCGGTCCGGATAGACTGTGAACCTGCATGACGGTCCAGTCATACCGAAGGCTCGAGATAGATCCAGGTAGACTGTAGGCCTTGCAAGGCGGTCCAGTCAAGATGAGGGTTCAGTATGCATGTTGTTCTGTAATCGTTGATATGATATGATTATGGTTATATGGGGTTGGTATTTTGGGGGCAACTCACTAAGCTTTCGGGCTTACATTTTCAGTTTATTGTTTCAGGTTCAGCGGATGACCGCGGGGAGGCGAAGGCGTGACCGTACACTTCCTCGATTGATGATTATGATTTCTGGGAACTCTGATGTATAAAATATTTTGA